ATGAGTGAAAATTTTTGGAAAAAGGACTTTTAACTTGATATCGTTGGATTCTAAATATTGCAGTACCTAAAGTTTTTATACTCATTTAAAATTATTTTTGGATTTGTTACTTGTATATAATTACGATTTGTTACTTGCTATATAATTAGTATCTTTATTCTCGCAATTGTAGTTCTAGTTTAAGTTATGACTTATATAGTTTTTATTTACTATTAGAAAAAAGAGCCAGCAATAAAATATGTCATAAAATATTAATGTATCGCGCTGCTGTGATTGTAAATTCCTCAAAAAATGAAAAGAAATATATTATGAATAGTGTTACTTAAAAGCAATGCTATTTAATTTTTAGACCCTGAAAATCCTTAACCCAAACTGATTGTATATAATAATCCAATTTATACAAAATGAAATAGTTTTTATTCATATATACATTTTACTATTATAATGTATATTTATGGTTTTCTATGGATTTTATTTTATTTTATGATTAGGGATTTAACTGGTCCTGAAATGCCCAATAGAACTTTCTAGACAAGCGAATTAAACCTGAAACAGGATCCCGACCAAAGTATTTTACTTGAATTTCATTTCCTACTTCTAAACCAAGTGCTGAAGGATGAGAAACTTTTCTATGATCCAACTGTGAATTATGCAACAATGCGGAGGCATATCTTGTATAATTGCACCATCACACCGATATCACGGATTTCAACTATTTTTGCAGAGTATATCGCTCCAAACTCCAATTCTGGAACACGCTCAGAGTCCAGTAAATCTTGTATCATAGACTTTGCTTCGTCCAAGGCCAGTTTAGAAGGCGCGAATAAAGAAAAAGTAGTGTCATCTTGTTGGGTAACCTCAACGCCCGTTTCTAAATAAATTTTCTTTAAATTAGAAGCTCCGGCACCGAACAGTTTTGACCTCTTGCTAATTTCAACTTCTAGAGTTTCAGATACTGGCCAATTATCTTTTACCTTTCTGGGTTTATCGATACACTTCTCCATTATATCAAGGATTCTACAATTAGCATCCGCAGCCGCTTGCAAAGCTTCCATTACTATTTTTAAAGGCAATCCTGGAATTTTGATATCAGCCTGCAAAGCTGTGAAACCTTTCCTTGTGCCTGCTACTTTCATGTCCATATCACCCAGATAATCTTCGATACCCAGCAAATCAGTTAATAAACGATAGTCTTCTATATGCTTTGTATCTCCAGGTGGATATCGTGCAATAAGGCCAATTGCAACGCCTGCGGCTGAACTTTTTAACGGAACACCGGCATCTAAAAGAGCAAGACTACCTCCACAAACACTTGCCATGCTGCTGGAACCGTTGGACTCTAGTACTTCTGATGTGAGGCGAATAGTAAAAGGATAATCTGAAGGTAATAATGGAGCAAGACCCCTTTCTGCTAAAGCGCCATGACCTAATTCTCTTCTGCCTAAAGGACCGATACGTCCAATATCTCCAGTTGCATATGGTGGAAATTCATAATGCAAAAAGAATTTTTTAACTTTCATATCACTTGTGAGCATCGAAGATGTATCTAATTTAAGAGCACTATCTGGTGAGTCTAAAGCAACTGTGCATAGTACTTGAGTTTGTCCCCGTTGGAATAAAGCGGATCCATGTAGAGGCTTGTACAAATTTACATCACAAGAAATGTTTCTTAGCTGATTTAAATCCCGACCATCACAACGAATGTCATCTTCAAAAATCAAATCTCTGAAAATTTTCTTACTGATTTTATTAAATTCATCAACTATCACAGTTGGTTCGATATCTGTAAAACTTGCTCGTACTTTCTCCACAATATCGCTTCTCACCAAATTCAATTCGTTATCTCTACTCATTTTATCATGATTATAATTCCGGAATATTTCTCTAATTCTCATTTCACTTAATGACTTTATAGCACTTATTAAATCATCCGGCACTTCAGGTAATATATTTAACTCTCTTTTTGTTTTGCCATGTGATTTTTGTAATTTTTCTATGGAAGAAATAATTCCTTGAGCTTCTCTCGTACCAAACTTGACAGCCTTTAGTAAGTCCTGCTGTAAAATATTATCAGCCTTGCCTTCCAACATAACAACTAAATTCTGTTTTGTAGCGCATACAATTAAATCCAATGTTGATTTCTGTAATTCAATTCTAGTGGGATTTACAATCAGTTCGGAATCTTTTAAACCGATCCTAACAGCACCAATTGGTCCATTCCATGGTATATCACTTAACGACAAAGCAGCTGAAGCAGCATTAATAGCTGGCACATCAGCATTGTATATTGAATCAACGGCTAACGAATTACAAACTAATTGGGTTTCATTGAGATAGTTAGGTGGAAATAATGGCCTGAGGCATCTATCTATTAACCTGGATGTTAATATATCAGTTTCTGTTGGACCTAGTTCTCTTCTTAAGAAATTCGTAGGAATGCGTCCTGCCGCAGCTGATTTTTGTTTGTAATCAACAACAAGTGGAAGAAAATTCCCAACATTATGAGACTTTGGTTTTGACACAGCCGTAACCATAACTGAAGTATCACCAATTTTGGCAACAGCTGATCCATCGCAAAATCGAGCGTATTTGCCAGTTGATATAGTTAAATTGCGTCCATTTGAGAAAATGGTATCGATCTCTGGTGTAGTAGCAGAGTCTTTGTGGACAAAGTTTTTACATAACCTAACAATTTTGGAGAAATTTAAACGTCGATAATGTTCTATTTTTCCAAGTTCTGTGGAAAACATTTTCTTAAACTGGGAATTGTTAGCTAGTTTTGTTCTTCATTTAGCATCAGGATGCACCTTGTCTGCACCAACACTGGTGTTACGATAACATTTCAACATAACCTAAAAACCACGATATTTCAAACAAGACTCATTGATGGCTCATTGATGTATATAATGCCCTTGTATGTATATGAACACATTTATTTATTCTCTCTGTGAATTTTTCCACTAATTTAAAAAGTTATTTGGAGATTTGTATTATGCTAAATATCTAAAATATATAACTAT